CGAACGGAGTTGAAATACAAGTATTTCATCTCATTGTTCATAGCTTGAGCAACACTTGATCAACAACATCTTCTAGTGCATTATCGTAACTAGTAGGATCAATATCACTCAACAAAAGACAACTTGAAAGTTAATAAGGTTCTCTTCCACTACGAATGTACTGCACTAGATCTTGTGTATTTATAGGTAAAACAAAGAGTGGGTCAAATGATGGATCTTCAATTTCTTGAGGATCCGCTTATCCTTGATATTGTTCCTTTACATGTGATACTAATATTTCTACTAGTTTCACTTATATATTATCATGTTGAATTTCTAATCATGGTTCTCTTGTTTGTTCACTTAGAGATATATCTATCCCTTCTTGAACAATCAAGGGAACAGTGGATGAAGCTTCTAGAGATTCTGGAAATTCTTGATCTGAGATAAATCTCATCAAGAATAACCTAACTTAAGAGCTTATAATTTCTTATCTAGTCATCCTTTAAGAAAATCATGTGAGTGCTCACTTAGATTATCTTGTCCTTAATACTAAATAAAAAAAGAAAATCATCCCTAGTTCTCTTAGGGTAGCCAAAAGATATGCACTCTTCCATACAAGATTCCATCTTATTTGACTTCTGTTGTAGGACGTGTGCCGTAGCACCCTAAATCCGAATATGGTTTGATCTGGGCTTGCACCCTTTCCATAATTCTTTAGGTGTCTTTACAACAAACTTTGACGGAACCAAGTTAAGAAGGTACATTTCCTTCTCTTAGGCATCTCCCTTGAACAACATTGACAAAGATGAATAACTGAACATGATCTTCACCAAGTCTAGAAATGTTTCATTTTTGCATACTGCAACTTCATTCAACTAACGCATTCTTAGAGTTGACAGTTACGAAAACTATCCCCTCTTAAATCAGGTAAGACCTGAACTTACCAGACAGGTAGCCAACACTTTAGTCAGACCAAAGTGATTTGATTTGAACACCTACATGCTTTTCTGCCTCAGACTTAAATCTCTTGGAAATTTCCAAAAGCCTTAGACTTATGGCACACTTGGTTCATCTGTCCAAATCCAGAGTAAACATTCATATAATGAAGTACTCATCACCTCTTCTGGTTTGAACGCTAATTGGTCCACATACATTAGTATATACCAGTTCCAGTTGAATAGTTGCGCAAACCTTTTTGGCCTTTGTAGGATTGCTTGGCCATTTTACCTTCCAAAATAAGACTAACATGTAGCTTTTAGTTAAAAGATTCTTGAACTTTCAGTTCTCTCTTTTAATTAAAACATGTTTCCTACTTTGAGGTAATGTGACTCAATCACAAAGGCCAAAGTTATGTTTCATTTGAAACTTTTATTTCTTTGGTGAATGTTCTTGTTCATCAATCTTTTTCCATTCAACATAACAAATTTAAGAGGGTATAGAACATAGGTAATAAAGACTATTTAAACAATGTACCAGAACAAAACAAGACGAAGATGACATTCGAAATGTAACTGAGGAATCAATTGCATTGTCAAACCATGTTTTAACCAAAACAACTAACAAAAATTGAATTCCTCTTGAAATCCGGAACAAATAAACAGTCACCCAAAACCATAGTCATTAAATAACTTGTCCTACTGCAAATACAGACACAAGTTCCCATTTTCAAGCTTAAAATATCTTTGTCCATTGCTGACATGCATACCATGTTTGAACTACTACTAAGAGTAACAAACATAATCAGTGATTCCTGAATCTATGATTCATTCACTGATCAGGCCTTAATATACACATGTCTGGTTCTTTTCATCACCTCTGGGCAATTTTTCTTTCAGTGTCCCTTCAGTCTGCACTTGAAGAACTTTCCTGCGGCTTCTTCATAGCAACTAGTTTGACAACTGATAACCAAGTTATTTTGTTCTTGTTACCACCCTTGGGTTTTCCCTTGGATTTAACAAGACTCTTAGCAAAACCTGCACCGACTGCATTCTGTCTAGCAGAGCTGCTAGACGCAGCAAACATGTCATTAAGAGTCTGAAGCATTTTTACTCCACTCTTAATCATGTACACTTGCTTCTGCAAGTATTTGGAAAGACTGACAATAGTATAGCAGCGAACTACCATATCTGCCATTTCCCAATCTGAGAAATGCATCTTAGTTTCCTTAGACGCATCCTCTGCAGGTTGCTATGGCCCTCGCATTGTCAGGACAAATTTTAGCTTCCATGTTTTAGAACAATATCAAAAATCTTAGTTTCCTTAGACGCATCCTCTGCAGGTTGCTATCCTCTCTTCGCATGTCCAAACCCCAAAGTAATGTATTGTTCATGATTAAAATTTATGGACTAGTTAATTTTTTATTGGAATAAATAGGTAATTTAATCATTAGATATATACTTTTCTTATAATTTAGTTCTTAAATTTATTCATTATGTTATGAAGTAGTCCTTAATTTTTAACTTCATCAAACGAAATACTAATGTGTTGCAGATTTTATAAATTTAAAAACCAACTTATAAAAAAAATTAAAGGCTAAATTGCAACAGAGAAACATTTCTAAAAATGAAATTACCAACTCACTTAGAGAGCTGGAGCGCTTATGCAATCGAGCCTTTTATAGCAATACCTATATAAACTTTCTCACAATTCTTTTATACAAATTTTCTCACACACTTTACATATATTAAAGTAGAAAATTTTTGCTATTGAGACAGCAGAACGAAAAAAGTTTCTATATTGTCAAGTGGAGATATGTGAAAAGTTATATTTTCAACCAACATTTCTCTTGCCAAACTATTCTTTTAGTACCTTTGTTTGAAGCGTCAAATGATATATATCGTTTTATTAAGTGTCCTTGATTGTTCATTGTATTTCTCTTACGTTGTGTTCCAAGATGAACATCAATGTCTAGGGAGGGTGCTAGTAGTAATATCTAAAGAGCAAGTGGAAGAGATGACTGACAGTCCGATGAGTAAACAGCAAAAAGGTGTGAGTGAATTCTGGGAATGATGAGAGCTCTAAGCTTAGAATAGGTTGTGGAATGTGATGGGTTCGAAATGTCTTCTCCAGGAATACCATTCATGTATTTATACTGGCCCTGTAGAGCAATTATTGAGATGATCATGCTCCTAGAACGATTTTCCAAATGAGATCATAAATGTTAGAGGATGGAGAAAAAATCGTGTATGCAAACCGACGACCCGAGCTTACAGGCTTAAGCCCAAGCCAAAGAGGTCTATCAATGGTGTCGGCCCACAACCCGGGTTCACGGGCTGGAGCTCTAACCGGAGAGGGTTCCCTAGGTAGGAAGCCTATCTTGAGCCTGAACCCATTAACAGGATGTGGGATCATACCCTGAACACATTGAATCTAAAAATTTCTCACAACAAATCACCTTAACTATTTAAAATACTTATGATTGACTAGTCATAAAGTGAAGTTACTATAATGGTCTATTTTTATTAGGAGTGGATCCTCTTACGTGAAAAAATGGTTATGTGGTCATGTTATTTGATCACAATCACTCATTGATGATGAGATAAGAGAGAAAAAAAAATATAATTTTTAAATTAATGGTTGTGATCAAATAACATGACCACTTTTTTCACATAAAAGAATCCACTCTCATTTTTAGTAATTTAACTTAAAGCCATTTTGCTTTAGCTGCGCCATGCACTTATTATTCTCCTGATCTAACTACTTTTCACGATTAACAAGATGCTGCAAATTGCCATACTTGTTTGCATAAATTGTGGATCTTAATAGTTAGCATTAACCTTTGATCCTTATGTAAATATGATTATGCTCAATTGTCATAAATTTCTGTTGTCATGTCTTAGTGTTAAGGATGAGAACTAGAAAGCTAGCAATACAACATCACTTGCAAAGAAATTGATTGAGGGCTCTTTTTAGGGTTGGCAAAACGGACCAACCCGACCCGACCCAACCCAACCCACATTCAACCCGAAAAAAATGAGCCGAGTTAGGGTTGGCTCGAAAAAAAAAACGAGTCAGAAAATCCAACCCAACCCGAGTCGGGTTAGGGTTGGCTCAAAAATATGGCTCGTGGGTTGGCTTGAAAAAATACCTCGCGAGTTGGCTCAAAAATTAGCTCACGGGTTGGCTCGTTTTCAGCCTACTTAAATGACCCTGTAATATTAATGCACCAGCTATGTGGCTTCCATTAGCTTAAACAAAGGGTTACAAAATGAGAAATAAAAGCAAGATATTTTAGTTTCGAATTTTCTTCACAACAAATTTACATCAACATCCAGAAACAATCAGAACCACTTGCTACCAAGTGGGTAAGATATTTAAACCAAACAGAACCAGCACAGCCTAACAATATAAAAATGACAGGGATGTGAGAAGATTAAGGACTTAGGTTTAGAGAAGGAAGAAAAATGATGACAACATGTGTGAATTTTGTTCATATTTGTATATTATATTTTGTTTTTTTTATAAAAAATAAAAAAAATAAAAAAATAAAAACTCAACCCGCGAACTGACTCGTTTGACCCGTGGGTGGGCTCTTTTTGCTTAATAAAATTTATTAAAGAAATATAATATAAAAATTATTGACATGACCTACACATAAGAGTTTAATTTTTTGAATTGATTTGATTTTTTTTATTACATCTGAGTTTATATAACCAAATAATTACAAGTTTGATTCTCACTAACCAAATTTTATTAATAAATAATTAAATATTATAGAATTTCTTGTTATGGATAGATAAACTTATGGATAGTTTACCCTTCAAGTCCAATAAACACTTGGGTATGTTAGAAAAATATAATATATAAACCACTGATGTAATGTTTACCTAACAATTTAAACTTTTGAATTGAATTTATTCTTTAGGAAGTTTTAATGCGACATTTATCTCAAGTGATTCTTGCGGTGGTGGCAGGTTTATCTTCTTATTAAAGGAGTAGAATACAATTCCAACCCAACTGTTGTTGAACTCAAATTTCTCTTCGGCTGATTCTAGAGAGATGCGTGCGGGGCTTGCTACTATGAAAATGCAACTTCTGATAATAACCTTCTTTGCATCCACTATGATGTCTAGGAACTGATTATTAGTATTATTTAACAGAAGAGTTGACATGCACGACAGATATTCTAGAAAACAAGATTAAAGAGTAGAAGAAATACAAGACTACATTGAACCACAACCAAGATTTCAGAAAATACAGTGGAAACTCTGCACACTCCTGGCAATGAGGAATAAAATAGGCAGAAGCAGCTCATCAGTGCAATAGTTTCCAGCAGAGTTCCTGAATTCCTGCAAAGCATTATTAGGATTTGAGAACAAGGATTGCTTAGGTCCAAGGGTGTGCATGGTTCAGGTAGGTTTCGTATATCAAACTGAACCAAACTGGAAAAGTGATTCAGTTCGGGCAAATTGAACTGGATTTAAAATTTGGTTCAAGAAGTTCAGAGAAAATGATTCAGTTCTTAAACCGGTTTGGAAAAATGTGATGCGGTTCGATTCATTTGCTTTTTCCACACTTTTAAGAATGAGTATGGTTCGGTTCAATTTGGATTTTAGCCCAAACCAAACCAAATCGGTAGAGTGGTTCGGTTCTTAAATCAAACTGGTTTTGAAAAAATGATTTAATTCTTGAACCAGTTCAAAGAAAATAGTTCGGTTCTCAAGCTGGTTCGAAAAAATGATTCCTTTTGGAATGGTTCGGTTCGGATTGGTTCATAGTTTGATTTGATTCGATTCATTTAGTTTTTTTTCACACCCTTACATAGGACTTGCTTTAACATAGATATAAAGAAAGCCAACATCAGTACCTCTTAAAAAGTCATTCTCAATCGAAGTTGTCAATTTTGATGGGAGTAATATCATCAGCAACGTTGAAGTGCCCAATCAATCGTGCAAAGAAGACCATTTGCTGTTCAAGTGTAAACTTAATGTTCTCAGCCTGCATCCAACCCATTACTGCATATGGTCACTATTTCCTACATAAATTTCATTTCTAAAAAATAATTAAATAAGCATGTACCTTTCTGAAACCATGTTGTTCTCCTTCATACTCAACAAGAGCAACTGGCACACCTTTTTCCTTCAGAGCCTGGTAAATTTCCCGAGCTTGATCCGGTGGCACAATCTGCAACGCATAGAACACATTTATCAAACTGAATTTTGTAGATTATTTAGAGTAGATTTAGAAATAGGCTGACAAATTTTCATTCCAGAGTCCTTTATGTATTGAATATGGGAAAGGGGGAAGTAATAATTGCATTTGATACTAACCTTGTCCTCCAATCCTTGAAATAAAATAATGGGGCAAGAAAATTTGTCAACGTGATTGATTGGGGATCTTTCAGTGCACCCCTTCTCACCTCCTGTAATCAGTTATGAGATTAGATAGAACACCAAACGAAACAAACAAACAAAAGAAATAACAGCTACCTTAAAATGGTCATCATTGACTTACCACCAAGGTTATCAATGTAATGGGATTCAAATTTATGAGTTTCTGCTCTCAACCTGTTCAAGTCCCCTACCTGTTTGAGAGACCAATTGGCAAATAATATATTGTGAGGACAATAAAAAATAAAAGGTCAGCCTCGTTGATAGGACCCACGACAAAGTAGTTATAGAATTAGATGTAAAGTATTGCTCTCCTTATATGCAAGGTTCAGGAGAGAAGGGCCAAACCCATTGTGTAGGTGTATGCCTTACTTTGCATTTGCAAGAGGCTGATTACATGAATTAAACCTACAACCTCCGGTTCACATGGCGACAGCACCATTGGAAGGACAATAGTTCAGTTAAATGTAAAAGAATACGTTGTGTATTGATCTGTGTCAGGGAGTTACAATATATAGAGACCCTAATGGGCTTAAGTGTAAGGCCCAAACCTAATCCAAACCTAATCCTAATACAGTCAGACTATTTACGGATAAGACAGAATCCAATCATATCTAATCAAATCTAATCATATCATATCTAATATTCTAACACTCCCCCTCAAGCTGGTGCGTATATATTATGAGCACCAAGCTTGTTACAAATGTATTCAACCCGAGGACCTCTAAGAGCTTTAGTGAAAACATCTGCTAGTTGATTAGACGAGTTGACAAAAGCTGTCTTGATTTCTCCTGACTGAATCTTTTCCCGAATGAAGTGACAATCAATCTCTATATGTTTGGTCCTATCATGAAAAACAGGATTAGAGGATATATGTAGCGCAGCTTGATTATCACAGATGAGTGTCATGGGTTGTTTCTGTTCACAAAGATGAAGCTACTGAATCAACTGCTTTAACCAGATCAACTCACAGGTAGTATTTGCCATTGCACAATACTCAGCTTCTGCACTAGATCGGGAAACAACAGGTTGTTTCTTGCTTTTCCATGAGATTAAGTTTCCTCCGAAGAAGACACAATAACCAGAAGTAGAGCGTCTGTCCGAGGGTGATCCTGCCCAATCGGCATCTGAGTAACCACAAATTTCTGTATTTCCCTGATCCGAATACAACAAACCTTTTCCTGGTGCTCCTTTGATGTATCGGAGGATCCTCACAGCAGCATCCCAATGTGAATCACAAGGGGAATCAAGGAACTGACTGGCCGTACTGACAGCGAAAGAAATATCTGGCCTAGTCACAGTAAGATAATTGAGCTTCCCAATCAGCCTTCGATAACGTCCAGGATCAGATAACGGCTCCCCCTGTCTGGGCAATAACTTAACATTAGGATCCATGGGTGTATCAACTGGTTTACACCCCAACATACCAGTCTCCTCTAGGATATCCAAGGCATACTTCCTTTGACAGATACAAATGCCCTGTCTAGATTGTGCTACCTCAATTCCCAAGAAGTAACGTAGCTTCCCAAGGTCCTTTGTTTGAAATGCACTGAATAAATGTTGTTTTAACTGATGGATTCCGTCTTGATCACTTCCGGTGAGGATGATGTCATCAACATAGACTAACAAATAGATGCACTTGTTAGGAGATGTAATCCTATAGAATACAGAATGGTCAACTTTACTGCGAATTAGGCCAAACGCCTGTACAGCAGAACTGAAGCGACTGAACCATGCTCGAGAAGACTGCTTGAGACCATATAAGGATTTTCGAAGACGACATACCTTCCCAGACTCCCCCTGAGCAACAAAACCAGGTGGTTGCTCCATGTAAACTTCTTCTTGTAAATCACCATGAAGAAAGGCATTTTTGATGTCAAGTTGAAGGAGTGGCCAGTGACGAACAGCAGCAAGGGCAAGAAATAGGCGGACGGACGCCATCTTAGCGACTGGAGAGAATGTATCGCTATAATCAAGGCCAAAGATTTGAGTAAAACCCTTGGCAACTAGGCGTGCCTTGAGACGATCAACATGGCCATCAGGTCCAACTTTCACAGTAAACACCCAGCGACAACCAACTATAGACTTCTCTGGAGGAGCAGAAACAAGGTCCCAAGTGCCATTGGTATAAAGTGCGGTCATCTCATCAAGCATCGCTTGGCGCCATCCTGGATGGGAAAGTGCTTCACCTGTGGTCTTAGGAATAGAAACAGAAGAAAGACTAGAAACAAAGGTGAAATGAGGAGGAGAAAGGCGATCATAGCTCAAGAAGGTATAAAGAGGATAAGGATTACGAGTAGTACGTGTACCTTTTCTTTGAGCAATGGGAAGAGCCTCTGGTGAAGGATCCGGAGGGGAAGAATCAACTGCAGAGGGCAATGAGTCAGCAGGGGTCGAGTCGACTGGAGGTACTGTCTTACGACGCTGATAAGTGAGAAGTGGACGGTCCTTAGGTACTGGAGCAATAGGTGATTGCTTATCTGGAGTAGAAGCACCTGCATCTGGCAAAGACAAGTCAAGAAAAGGAACAGGAAGAACATGATCAACCTGTGACAATGGAGATGGGATAGAATTAAAGGGTTGTTGATCAAAAAAGGTGACATCCGCGGAAACTAAGTAACGCTTGAGGTCAGGAGAGTAACAGCGATAACCCTTTTGAAGACGAGAATAACCAAGAAAAATGCATTTAAAGGCTTTGGATGTTAACTTATCCTTACCAGGAGTGAGATCATGAACAAAACAGGTACAACCAAAAACATGTGGGGATAGAGGAAAGAGAGTAACATCTGGAAACAATAAGTTATGAGGAATATCATTATTAAGCACAGATGAAGGCATGCGGTTGATGAGAAAGCAAGAAGCAAGGACTGCATCAGCCCAGAAGTGAAGAGGAACATGCATGTGAATAAGAAGAGTCCTGGCAATCTCAATGAGATGTCTATTCTTACGTTCAGCTACTCCATTTTGTTGTGGAGTGTGAGGACAAGTGGTTTGGTGTAAAGTACCCTGTGTGGCTAAGAAGTGAGAAAAGTCAACAGAAACATACTCCTTAGCATTATCACTACGTAAAATACAAATAGAAGCACCAAATTGAGTATGAATTTCAGCAGAAAACTTTTGATAAATAGAAAACAACTCAGAACGGTTTTTCATTAAATAAATCCAAGTACAACGGGAGAAATCATCAATAAAGGTGACAAAATACCGAAAACCTAAAATAGACACACTACGACTAGGACCCCAAACATCTGAATGAATAATTGAAAAAGGAGCATCAGCTCGTTTATTGACTCGATTAGCAAAGGAGGAGCGTATGTGCTTTCCTTGCTGACATGACTGACAATCTAAAGTTTGAAGACCGGATAAAAGAGGAACCATCTTCTGCAATTTCGCAAGACTAGGATGCCCGAGACGACTGTGGATGAGCTGTGGAGATTCTGTGAGAGAACAAGCAACTGAAGGACTCGGCACATCAAGGTAGAACAGACCCCGTGACTCACGGCCCACTCCAATCATCTTCCCCGTACCCGGGTCCTGCACAGAAACAGAATGGTTTGAGAATGTGACAATACAATTAAGAGAATTGATCAATTTACTAACCGATATTAAATTATAAGGGATGTGAGGAATGTAATAGACAGATGTCAAGGTCAATGAGGAGGTTGGACAGATTTGTCCAATCCCATGAACGGGGGCCTTAGTTCCATCAGCAAGAGTAAAAGAGGGTAAATTATTAGAATATGTAAGGGAAGAAAAGAGTTCCTTATTACCACAGAGGTGATCAGTAGCACCTGAGTCAAATATCCAAGGACCAAGTGATGCAGAATGAGAAACACAAGCAACAGGATTACCAGTTTCTGAAGCAGAGGCCTGAGATTGAGGAGAGGACTTCCTGAGAAGGGCCTGGAATGCTGCATATTCTTCAGAGGAGAGAGAGACTGAACCATTTGAAGCAGTATCCGATTGAGCTACATTAGCAGCAAAAGAAGGTCGCATGTGAGGACACTTGGTGTAGCAGCGTTCCTCATAATGACCAAGTTGCTGACAGTAATGACAACGAGGTCGCTGACCACGTCCGACTGGACCTCCTGGGCCTCCTGGGCCACGACCTCCTGGGCTACGTCCTCCTGGGCCTCTACCACGACCACGTCCACCTCCAATATGCCCGCGAAAATCAGTACGGGAAACTAGAGCAGTAGAATCAACAGCAGAAGACGATGCAGGAGCAGATTTCTTATTCAAATTCAGAAGACGCTGATACGTCATGGATAGATCAGGCTCCCCACTAGTCAAGATAGTATCACGAACATTATCATATTCTTCGGGAAGGCCAGAAAGTGTGGCAACCATAAAGAGACGTTCCACCTGTTTCCGATATGCAGTAGCATCAGTAGGGTAAGGCAGCATATCCAAATATGCCTGCATCAAAGAGCGACTCTTGCCAATATATGTCTCCATTTGAATGTCGGATGATTTGCTCAATTCCATAAACTGAGAGATGATGAAATAGAGCTGCTGAACATCATTAGTGTAGAGGTTTTTTGCTTCCTCCCACACTTCAGTGCAAGTTTGAAATGAATAAAAGATATCCAAGACAATCGGATCAATGGATTGCCAGAGGATACTCAGAAGCTGGTTGTCAATCTTTTCCCAATCAGACTTGTCCTCCTTAGGGACATCAGTAGACTTAGTTGTGAGATGGTTCCCATATCCTTGTCCAAAGAACCAAACTCGAACAGAGGTGGCCCAGTTCTTGTAATTAACAGATCCCTTCAATTTTGAAGAGGTAATGGACCCAATATTGGTAGAGATGATATTGGGAGAATTTCTCAAAGGAGGAGATGGAGCCTTGACCTCCGAATGAATTGGAGGGTTTGCTGCCATAGTATCAAATCACAAAGATACAAACCGAATAAAGAGAAACGAACCTGATCACCAATCAAGAAGAGGTGCGCACAAAAAGTCAGACCCACAAAGAACCAACCACAGATCCAGAAAGAGGAGGAGAAGACGAGCTTCTCTGTCCAAGACCGGCCGGAAAAAGCCGCCGGAATAGTGCTCACGCGCCGGCAGAAGGTGGCGCGTGAAGCCCACGCGCAGAGAAGACTGGAGGCGCGTGAGAGCGCGTGACAACTCCGATGGTGGCCGGACTTCCACAGAGCAGGTCGCCGGGAGGAGAGGGTTCTGTTCGTGTTCGTTCCAGACTGAAAACTCGCCGGAAAAGTACTCCGGCAGCCTGAACAGTGGCTGACGGTGGTTGATGGTGCTCCGGTGACTGTTTGGGGATGTGGACACGTGCAGAAGATGCCTGGAGAGGACCCTTTGATGTCTTACCGGAAGGACGCACGGCAAAGAAAAGATGACTCCTAAGCAGTGGGCTTAGGTTTTAAAGCGAAGAACAAGATTTCTAAGCAGAAGCGAGGGTTCCCAGAACGAAATAGCTCTGGTACCAAGTTAAATGTAAAAGAATACATTGTGTATTGATCTGTGTCAGGGAGTTACAATATATAGAGACCCTAATGGGCTTAAGTGTAAGGCCCAAACCTAATCCTAATACAGTCAGACTATTTACGGATAAGACAGAATCCAATCATATCTAATCAAATCTAATCATATCATATCTAATCAAATCTAATCATATCATATCTAATATTCTAACAAGTGATCATGTTACAGTCTTTGCAAAAAAAAAACATGTTCAAACACCCAAATAATGTGAATCTTATCTATGTTCATTACTGCTGTTTAATCTTCCTTCAAATAACTATATAAACCTTATGTCTTGTAACCTTCTTTTTGTGAATGACATCAGCAATAAACAAGTGATCAAAGAATTAGCCAACATCGTCAATAAATTGTTCACATTTTTGGCTGCCTTCTTAGTACTAGAGAGCACAGATGTTGGCCAAAATCTTTTCACAAAACACCACATTGTCATGAAGGCCTTTGTCCTTGCAATTCTTGTGTACTTCCTAGTATTGATACTTCATACTATGCTACCGCAAGCATAGGTTGGCTTCATTCCAATCTCACTCATACTCGAGTTGGGAAATGTTGCGTCAGTTTTAGCATTGAGCCTTATTTCATGGCCCATTGCTATGATCATGTTGGCCTTATGGGTCATTACCTTTATAGTTCTTGCCATGTTTAATTATCAAGATCTCTGTAATCTGATTGAGTTCCAAGCCACAATTTGGAGTTCGTGAAAGAATCTAGAGAAATTGTGACCCTTAAGACCAAAATGATCATAGCAATGGTCCATGACATAAGGCTCAATGCTATTGGCCAAAATCTTTTCACAAAACACCACATTGTCATGAAGGCCTTTGTCCTTGCAATTCTTGTGTACTTCCTAGCATTGATACTTCATACTATGCTACCGCAAGCATAGGTTGGCTTCATTCCAATCTCACTCATACTCGAGTTGGGAAATGTTGCGTCAGTTTTAGCATTGAGCCTTATTTCATGGCCCATTGCTATGATCATGTTGGCCTTATGGGTCATTACCTTTATAGTTCTTGCCATGTTTAATTATCAAGATCTCTGTAATCTGATTGAGTTCCAAGCCATAATTTGGAGTTCGTGAAAGAATCTAGAGAAATTGTGACCCTTAAGACCAAAATGATCATAGCAATGGTCCATGACATAAGGCTCAATGCTAAAATGACAAAACACTTGAGAATAAGTAAGACTGGAATGAAGCTGGTTATATGCCACGATAGCACAATATGAAGTATCAATACTAGGAAATACACAAGAATCGCGAAGACAAATGCTGTCATAACATTATGGTGTTCTGTGAAAAGATTTCAGCCAGCATCTGTGGTCTCTAGTGCTAAGAAGGAAGCCAAAAACGTGAACAGTTTATTGACGATGTCGGCTAATTCTTGGATCACTTGTTTATTGCTGATGTCATTAACAAAAAGAAGGTAAAAAGACATAAGGTTTCTATAGTTATTTGAAGGGAAATTAAACAGCATCACGAAGCAGCAATAAATTAATGCTTCAAGCCGAAAATTGTTAATTACATTCTGAATTTTATCTTTGTTAAAGTACTGAAAACAATGTAACATGTTCAAATATCCAAATAATGTGAATTGATGACAAGTAGGAACTACATGAACCCTGTTTCATGGTAAACAGACAAAGTAGATTATTACAATCTTTAGGAAAATGAATCGCCCATGGATAATAAGAGTGAAATTGAAGTAGCAGAAGAAGCACTCACACCATACAAAGAAGCCCCTGCCTTAAAAGTTTCTCTAAAAGCAAGAGCAGCTAAGGTGGTATACCCACCAGCAGAGCCTCCTGTTATACACAGACGCTCCCCATCTACCTTTCCACTGTCCACCTAGATAAGAGATTATACAACCACTCTTGTAACAGACCCATCAAACTCAAATGTAGGAAAAATAAGAAACAAAATAGTTACCAAATATGTAGCACAACTACAACAGTCATTGACATCAACTATTCCCCAGCGTCCCAAAAGCCGCTCTCGGTACTCCCTGCCATAACCTTCCAAGTACTATGCTAGTCAGACGAACTGAGTTCCAGCTTTTTCATTAGTGAAAATGACTAGATCAGGCCATACGTAATACAACTGAAATCGCGAATCATAAATAACCAAAAAATTTCTTGGATGGCCAAAAAACAACCGAACTCGAAAGAATTATCAGCCTAAAGCTCCCGCTTTGTGCAGGGTCCAGGGAAGGATCTACAGTACGCAGCCTTATCTCCATGTGCAAGAGGCTGATTACATAAATCGAACCTGTGACTTTTGAGTCACATTGCAACAACACCAACAGTTATGCCAAGGTTCCCCTTTTGACTGTGAAAAACAAAAAGAGGGGGAAAAATAGAAAAGATAATAACATATTTATGTAGGCAAAGTGAGAAACAAACCAGTGCTTCCACCGTAATTAACATCAACTAGTGCCCAACCCCGACTAGTCCAGTACTGAATGCTCAAATTAAAAATTCCATGTGTCTCAGAAGTTGGTCCTCCTGAAATATGGAAATAAAGTCATGCACATACAAAAGTGTCTGTTGTACAATGTAATTAAAGTAAGAAAACCACGCATGACAGGATTGCCAAAAGCAGTTAAGTGCAATAAATGCAGTAGCCAGGTAATCTGAAATATCTCAATTGAAAATTTGATTCAATTAAGAAATTTTGACAAACTTGTATTTAAAACACTGAAATTCCAATTCGGGTAACATTCCCCCACTCCATCAGAGAGTGCATCTCAATAGAATCATCTGTGGTTGTGAAACATTAAATTTTCACAGAATAACATTTATCAAAAGGCATCCGGTATAGCTCTGATATTGCTTCATCGGCCATTGAGAAGACCGATGTTACAATCGTCAAAATGAGAAACTATAAACATATTCATTCAAAAACTGCCAAAATCATGAGTGCTGCAGACATGCGAGGTGAGAGGGGAGCGAGATAGAAATAAACCAAAGTCAGCATGTATTCAACAATGAAAAGACAAAAGAACATGGACATACAATGCAGCCATGACCTCCACAATATTTAAAAGTATTGGTATACAGTTCTACTAAACCAGTGAGGATTTTTGTTCACAAATAAAGGCCACCCATTCTGAATTATCATGTATGCAGATCATGAGATATATAACAACATAAAAATTTTGGTAGTAGAGGGAAGACCCCACTCCACAGGTTTTCAGCATGTAAGTTGCTAAATAAAGTAGAATATGAATTAGAATGTGATAATTCCTGATACAAGACCAAGATTTACCATGGCTCTTCAATAACAATGGAGGCTTTTCTCCTTGATTGGCTTGGTAAATAGGATTAGAGGGCGGATAAAAGTATGCGTAAGCATTTTGACCAGGAACTTCAGTTTGGAATTCAATCAGCTCTGGCTTACTGATGTACGAAATATATTTTAAACTATCTGGTGAAGAGGACCAGATAATATTGAACTCAACTGCTTTTGATTTATCATCATCTAAAGTCACCTGAAAAGCAAGAGAGCTATCAGGGGTGCATTGAATAACTCAAAAATAGATGAATGGTGGGGGAAAGAAGGAAGAACCTTGGCTACTGATGATGGATGAACTGCAGATGCTCCCTCCACATATAGGCAATTATTACCAGAAGTCTGCAATGGCATGATTACATAACAATGATTATTATTACTTTTCAAGAATTGATTTAGACCAAAAAAGAAAAAAGAAAAAAAGCAAGGAAATGATTTTAAAAATTACAATGTTATCTATATCTGTGAAAGGGATATCAAGCTTAGTTAGTTTTGAGCCCTGCACATCATCAATAATTCCAAGATAGGACTTCCCCTGCTGCCTGCAAACACAACCAAAACATTGAATTGAATGTACCAGACTGGATAAAAGAAAAGAAGCAGGAAATATATGCTGGTAGCAGACTTGGAATCACCTGTAACTACAGGCAATTAAGTTTCTCTGTTTATGACTTCGAACAAATTCATAAGAATTCATACCGAAAATCCATAGTGGCCTTGCAAACTCAGCATCCAAAGAATAAATAAATAAGACCTTATTCTCTGACTCAATCTGTAAACAATTAAAGAAGTTGGAAAAGAAAAATAAAACAAATAATTAATCAATTCTTTAGTGGCTAGAGTATGTCAAACCAGAAAATGAATTCACGCATGCTTGCAATTGAGTTATTTGTCACAATCATCTTGTTGCACAATTGAATCCAAAACAAACAGAAAAGAAACGGATGATAATAGGAAGAGTAAAATATCAAAAGAAAGCATTTGCATTATTAAAACAATAGAGATATTCAACCTGGTACATGCCCAAAAATAGCTGACTAGAATGCATGACTCTACTATTCTTTACTGGATTATGTTTATGCAAAACTAACAAAGCATAGAGATATTAAAGACCTGATTGTTTCAGGACATAATCATATGAAATTCATATATCAGATTTTGTAAATTCTGATTATTATCTTTAATATTGTAGCATATTCTTAAACATCTTAATTTGGAAAATTCAAAATTGGCTCCATTGTAAATACACACACACATCACATCAGAATGACGAATATCGTAGAAACTCTATTTTGTCAAAACCAGCAAATTCAATTTGGTTAGTGGGAAATACAGCAAGATAGCTACGGAACCTTCATTATAAAAATTTGATCCTGTTCAATGAACTGTTTGCGAGAAATATAATACTGATGGACCCCCAATTAGAGTATATTGCCGTAGAGCAAGAAAAAAAAAAAGACAAGACAATGGAGGCCCAAACCAACAGCCCTCGTCTAATGAAGAGGAAAAACAGCCCAAGCCTGATGAAGAGAATCAACCCAAGTGCAAGGAAGATAACGGGGCGCGTGTAGCTGCTCAAGTGGGGAATTCAAGAGAAAAGGTAAAAGAAGAGTTTGTTAGGAAAAGTGACATGTGGATGACTCAGAATGGGAAAGGCAGCATGGAAGGGGTGAAGAGGGGAGAGTCAGTTATAAGGGAGAAGGAAGAAGAGAGAATGGTATGAAAAATATGTTGCAAGTGGAATTGGGAAGGAGAGCTCAGTAAGGTGGTGGTTTGCCTTGTTGAGAGGTTACATTTACTGTTTCTTTATTTTGGTGTCGTTCTTATTGTAAGTTGATTTAGCGTTTGTTATAGTGTCTCAGATGGTGAATTAGTGTAGTTGGGAGTCTGTAATTCAGTGATGAGTCTGTGTTGTGTGTTGTTAATTTCCATTATCCAGAAGTTGTAAGGAGTATTTTCCTTAACTCAGTTTATTAATAGACATATTTCTTTATATTGTACTGTACGTTCACTATTTCATTGTTGGGTGCCATCAATTTGGTATCAAAGCTCTTGATCCTGTTAAAAAAAAAAAAAAGTAAAGAACGTGGTGAATGGTAAGGTCACGCATGGAGACTAGAGTGGACGAGATAGAACAGAGATTGAGACAACTAGAACAACACACTGGGGGAATGGATGGGCGTCTGATGGGGGTGGAGACCTCGATTCAACAATTTGACGTGACGTTGATGCAATTTATGGATCGGATGGAACAACGTTTGGATCGATTTGAAAGGATTCAGGTCAATACGGGGGAAACAGGGGAGAATGGAGGGATTGGTGACAGCGCAACCGGAGAAAATGGAGGACCTACGGGTGATGGTGGTCGCAATGTGAATACGGGTGAAGAAGAACGGATGAGGAGAGCGGAGGTTCCATACTTTGCTGGAGCGGATCCATACGGATGGATTTACAGAGCGGAACGCTATTTCCGTATAAATCGAATTCCCCAAGAAGAACAAGTGGAGACGGAAGCCGTGTGCTTAGAAGGAAGAGCTCTGAATTGGTTTCAATGGTGGGAACCTAGAAACCCAACCATTCAATGGGCGGAGTTCCGGTTGGCAGTACTGCAACGTTTTCATTCTTCCTCGTCAGGAAATCCCTACGAGGCCCTTATGTGCCTCCGGCAAAATGGCTCAGTCGCGGAATATAGGAAGAACTTTGAATTGATGGCAGCACCGCTCCGTCACGCAGATGATGGGATCATGAGAGCTGCATTTATTAATAGCCTGAGAGAAGAGATACGTGCGGAGATTCGCCTGCATAATCTGAATGATTTGGAAGGTCTGATGTCTCTGGCACAACGAGTAGAGGAGAGAGAGACCGTGTTGGGAAGGCTGGGAACGATGGTAGGGAAGGCGGGTAATGGGCCTGGCTCAAGTGGAGCCCATTACACACGCACAGCCTTGCCCAATAGGGTTGTTAGTGTGGACAACCGGTCCAATGCATCTGGGAGTGGAGGGCGAGTTGGGCCTGGCCCAAATGGAGTAAATAACACACATGGGTCCTCAGAGGGACAGAGTCGCATGAACTCGGGCTCAAATGTGGAAGGCGGTGAAGGAGTTAGCCATCAAAACCCTAACAACAAGGGAGGAGGTAGATCGCGTTATAGACGGCTTTCACCGGAGGAACTTGCGGACAGAAGGAGAAGGAACGTGTGCTATCGTTGTGATGCACCCTACTCTCCTGATCACATATGCCAAAATCTGAGCTTAAATGTGCTGTTGTTGGGAGTTGGAGAGAGTGACGTTGAAGACGGGGAACCCTACACGGACGTGATTGGGCCCGGAGCGGAGACAGAGCTTCAGCTGAGTGTGCATAGCATCGCGGGACTCACCACAAACAGATCGCTCAAATTGTGGGGAGAAATCTGTGGTCGGAAGGTGGTGGTATTGATCAATTCCGGAGCTTCGCACAATTTCTTAGCTGACCACTTAGCATCTGAGTTAAACATTCCCATCGACAGGGAGACAACGCATACGGTGACGGTGGGCAATGGTTATCAGGTCCATAGTCCTGGAAAGTGCAACGAGCTCCAATTGAAACTCCCTGGTATGTCTACCGTCCAGGATTTCTTTCTTTTTGGGTTGAGTGGAGAAGATGTTATTATGGGCTACACTTGGTTGGAGGGATTGGGGGAAATGAGGGCAAATTTCAAGGAATTAACTCTTCGTGTGCCAAGGGATGGAAGATGGGTGGATCTGAAAAGGGACCCTTCGTTGTCAAGGGGGCGAATTTCTTTTAAGGGTTTAGGAAAGGCTATACGGAAGGGGCTGAGAGATATTACTTGGAGCTGGGATTTGCTATAGTGGCTGATAATCCACCAAATGTCTCAGAGAGGGTCACACAATTGCTGCATCAATACCCAGAGGTCTTTAAACAACCCTCGGGTTTACCCCCCCCCCCCTCCAGGCTGTGTGATCACCACATTCTGTTGAAAGATGGAGCCAATGTTCCCAATATAAGGCCGTATCGTTATCCTCATTATCAAAAGGAGGAGATTGAACAATTTGTGAGAGATATGTTAGCTGCGGGATGGATTCGGCCCAGTACCAGCCCCTATTCCAGTCCACTAGTACTTGTGAAAAAGAAATATGGGAGATGGCGGTTCTGTGTGGATTATAGGGCGTTGAACCATGTGACCATTCCCGACAAGTTCCCTTTGCCAGTGATTGATGAGCTCCTAGACGAGATAGGGAGTGCTGCAATTTTTTCCAAACTGGACTTGAAGTCCGGGTATCACCAAATAAGGATGAAACCGGAGGATATTGAGAAGACGGCTTTTCGCACGTATGAGGGTCATTACGAGTATCTAGTAATGCCCTTTGGGTTAAGGAACACTCTATCAACTTTCCAATCATTGATGAATGAGATCTTCAAGCCGTTTTTGCGTAAATACATTCTGGTGTTTTTTGACGATATTCTTATTTACAGTAAGGATGAGCAGCAGCACTTAACACACTTGCAACAAGTTCTGGAAATTCTTGAGAAGAACCACTTTTGCGCAAACTTTAAAAAATGCAGCTTTGCCCGAACGGAGTTGGAGTATCTGGGCCATGTCATCACGGGAACAGGAGTAAAGGCAGACCCTTCCAAGGTAGATGCAATCAGGAGTTGGCCTATACCCACCTCTCTCAAAGCATTGAGGGGTTTTTTGGGTTTAACGGGCTACTATCGGAGGTTTGTTCGACAGTATGGGCACATAGCTAAGCCTTTGACAAGGTTGTTGAAGAAGGACAATTTTCATTGGGATGAGGCAGCATTGGCAGCATTCAATGAGTTGAAGGCAGCAATGATGCAACTGCCTGAGCTAGCACTGCCGGATTTTAATGTGATATTTGTCGTGGAAACAGATGCATCGAGCGTGGGAATGGGGGCTGTTCTAATGCAGAAGGGACGTCCCATAGCTTTTCTGAGCCAAGCATTCACTGATATGATGAAAAAACTGTCAGTATATGAGAGGGAGCTTAAGGCTATAGTCTTTGCGGTGCAGAAATGGCGCCATTATTTACTAGGACGTCATTTCATAGTGAGAACGGATCAGCATAGCTTGAAATACTTGATGGAGCAGAGATTATTGGTGGAAGGGCAGCAAAGGTGGATTGCTAAGCTCATGGGGTTTGACTTTGATTCAGTACAAACCAGGTAATACAAATAAGGCAGCAGATGCCTTGTCTCGCATAATGGAGTGCAAAGAGCTGTCAGTGGTATCCAGTCCAGATATGCAGCTGTTATCAGAGGAAGTATTGGCAGATCCGGACACTAAATCTATTTTTACTGATGTCATGCAGCAACATGATTCACGGCCAGGGTATAGGGTATCCAAAGGCTGTTTATGGTTTAATGACAGGTTAGTAATCCCACACTCCTCCCCATTAATTCAGAAATTATTATATGAATTCCATTCCATTCCACCCCTTGGGGAGGGCATTCGGGTGGCATGCGGACTTACAAACGGTTGGTCGCTGTGTTTTATTGGAGGGGGATGAGGAAAGACGTTGAGAGGTTTGTGCAAGCATGTGGTATATGCCAGCAGCAAAAATACCAAGTATTAATGCCCGCAGGGTTGCTGCAGCCGTTACCTATACCCATTCAGATTTGGGAAGACATATCCATGTATTTTGTGGCGGGCTTGCCAAAATCCAAGGGGGTTGACACAATCTTGGTGGTTGTGGATCGATTAACAAAATATGCCCATTTCATGACCCTCACTCACCCATTTACTGTTGAAGAAGTGGCTTTGCTGTTTGTCAAGGAAGTGATTCGGCTGCATGGACCACCTAAGTCCATTATATCCGACCGTGACAGAATTTTCATTAGTAAGTTCTGGAATGAGTTATTCAAACTGTCCGGAACAAAGCTGCAGCTCAGCTCCGCTTATCACCCCCAAACAGATGGCCAAACGGTGGTAGTAAACCGTACTCTTGAAACCTACTTATGTTGTTTTGCGAGTGGACACCCGAAGAGTTGGGCTAAGTGGCTGCCATGGGGAGAGTTCTGGTTCAATAGTACTTATAATCGGTCTACTCACATGACTCCATTTAAGGCTGTTTATAGAAGGGATCCACCTGTTATTGTCACTGTTGAGAAGGGAACAGCATCGGTGGCTGCAGTGGATCAATGGCTGGAAGCTAGAGATGCTGTGTTGGTGGAACTTAAACAAAACCTCTGTAAAGCCCAAGAAAGAATGAAGCAGCAGGCAGATAAAGGGCGGAGGGAGGTTATCCATGAGGTAGGGGACATGGTTTATCTGAAAATGCAGCCTTACAAACTCAGATCACTGGCCAAGCATTTGAATCAAAAATTGAGCCCGCGTTTCTATGGTCCATTTGAGGTGGGGGAGCAAGTGGGGTCAGTAGCTTATAGATTGATACTCCCAGGACATTCTAAGGTACATCCCGTCTTCCATGTGTCTCAACTTAAGAAAGCAATTAATCCCAATGTGCCTGTGCTCCCATTACCAAGCTGTTTATCTGAATCTCTAGAACTCCAAGTCCAGCCAGCAGCTATTAAAGATGCTCGCAGATTACTTAAAGGCAGAATAGAGGTATTAGTGCAGTGGGAAGACCTCCCTGACTGTGAAGAGACTTGGGAAGATGTGGAAGAGTTACAAGAATTATTTCCATCCTTTCACCTTGAGGACAAGGTGAATGTTATAGGGGGGAGTATTGATGGACCCCCAATTAGAGTATATTGCCGTAGAGCAAGAAAAAGAAAAGACAAGACAATGGAGGCCCAAACCAACAGCCCTCGTCTAATGAAGAGGAAAAACAGCCCAAGCCTGATGAAGAGAATCAACCCAAGTGCAAGGAAGATAACGGGGCGCGTGTAGCTGCTCAAGTGGGGAATTCAAGAGAAAAGGGAAAAGAAGAGTTTGTTAGGAAAAATGACACGTGGATGGCTCTGAATGGGGAAGGCAGCATGGAAGGGGTGAAGAGTGGAGAGTCAGTTATAAGGGAGAAGGAAGAAGAGAGAATGGTATGAAAAATATGTTGCAAGTGGAATTGGGAAGGAGAGCTCAGTAAAGTGGTGGTTTGCCTTGTTGAGAGGTTACGTTTACTATTTCTTTATTTTGGTGTCGTTCTTATTGTAAGTTGATTTAGCGTTTGGTATAGTGTCTCAGATGGTGAATTAGTGTAGCTGGGAGTCTGTAATTCAGTGATGAGTCTGTGCTGTGTGTTGTTAATTTCCATTATCCAGAAGTTGTAAGGAGTATTTTCCTTAACTCAGTTTATTAATAGACGTATTTCTTTATATTGTACTGTACGTTCACTATTTCATTGTTGGGTGCCATCAAATACCAAATTGTATACACCAAATGCCCAAAAATATATATCAAAAACAAGAATTTGAAATTATCCAAAAGTATTGATGAGCATTTATCGATGCAGAAAATCAAAGTTATTGAAAGCCACTATATATAATTAATGGCTTGAAGAAATATTTGGTGAAAGAAGATTACCCATTTATGGAGATTCCAAAAACCATTTCCCCTATCCGTGATGAAAAAAAGCTCCCCTGCATAGTTAAACTAAATAAATAAATAATCAGAATGCACAGAAAGATCATAACAAATGTTCCTGTTGGAGTCAACAGTAAGCTTAAAAAAAATGTCATTCGAAGAATATTCTCTAAAAGCATGGCAGTAAAAAAGTAAAAACATCAAAGTTTCCATCGTAGAACATTAAGATATTATAAATTAACATATATCAAGGATCCTGAGCCCATGTCTGGGAGTATCATGACTTGATGATCTTAAGAAAACATTTAGTCAACAAAACTACATGCTATGCTCACTAACAACTGTAAATATGTCGACTTTTGGTTCTATAAAAATACTAGGTTTTATTTTTTTTTATTGACGCGGGGTTTGTTCACAAAAAATGCATACCATCGGGTGACCACTTGGGCTCAGTTGGAGACTCCACAAGTGAAGGATCACACCCAGCAACACAGACGCGCTTATAGATCTCTCTGCATGGAAATTTAAGATGATTAAGCCTCAAGTTGAAACATGACATAAAATAAAATAAAAAACAGTAACTCCAACTATGATATGGAATTTGAAAACTAGATCCAGGATAAAAAATAAGAGACAGAAATGGAGGGTAAACAAGAAAGACCTTCTAGAGGGAATAAAATATATGCATGAAGATTATAAATACCTATAACATTGAAGTTGTCTAGTAGTTGAGATTTGAAAATTGGATACAAATCAAGAAATTATTTTTCCCCTTTTCAAGATTATGAAAAGAGGAAGCACTATATGATATAGTTTAATCAACAAAATATTAGACCTGAGTTGTGTGATTCAGAAAAGAACTGAATATCTGCAAAAGTACCAGCTGTTCATATATAAAGAAATCATATCATATACCTATATTAATTATGAAAAACCAAAGAACATGTAAGAAATGACACAAAAGCTCATTTCATCATCACCTCAATAGGGAGACCTACACGGTAAGCAAACATTCATAATTCGTAGAAGTTATAACTAAAATTAAGAGCTCTGCTCACCCATTTTCAGAAATATAACCAACCCAAAGTTCTGATTTATCCCACGGCATGTTGGGGTGACTCCACTGAATCCATGCTATTCTTTCACTTTTAGGATCTAGACGTGGGAAAGCATAGAAGTCACTCCCGCCAACCAGTACTACTGGTTCTGAATGACAAAAAAATTCAGTCAGACACAATATTGATTGCATAATGAAAACAGCCATCAAGCAAGTGAAAATAGCACAACGTTTGAAAACCTTTGACTAGCTACAATGAAATGCTTATTTGCAGTATTCATTCAACCTCTCACTAGTAAGATGGAAATTATTACCCTGAACATCCTTGCTGCCAAGTGCTATAGATACAATTGTTGTAGGTGGATTTAGACTGTTCTCCCGACGATCTAGAAACATGATTACACAATTATGACCAAACAAATGAATGATTTAACAAGTAAAAACACTCTGGCTACATTCTAACATAACCCTTGAAGATAAACTGATTCTCGAGCGCTTACCTTCCATTACACTAACATAACGGTTAAAGCGGGCATCCAATATTCCATCTGCATAGCTGACTACCGGTCCACCATAATCCGGAGTGAGAGGCACAGGAGGCACATCTGCTAGGGTAAAAAACCACAAAAGTTCAGCACCAAATAAGAAAATTGCTTCACATACACTTCTGAGAATAACATAACACCAAATCAATACTCCCAGATTGGTACAAATCAATATGTGTATATATATATATATATTAACCAAAGTTAATTATAAAAAAACAAAACTTAGTAACAAGATGTAACTAACAAAAGAGTAAGACTACACATCAGGTCAAAAGGGGCACAAACACATGTCTCATTTCATGATAATACAGTATGACTTTGATTTGGAAAATAGTTATTGGGGAACAAAAATTGTTGCTTCCTCACCCAGAGAACTGATGAACTGCTTGTACAATCTCTGATCCTTGTAATTTGCAAAAAAGACAACATCCCCAGAAACAGTGAAAGAACCACCTCCATACTCCTGAGCCAATGTTCTCACTCCAAACTCTTTAGGAGTAATATCCACAGGGTCACCTCCAGGTTTTTCTGACTCAAGAACAAGAACAGCCCGTCTGAAACAAATTGAGTAACCAAAAGGGTCATCTTGCAAACTCCAATAGTTTAAAACTTTCACCTTTTCTACTTCCAGCTTCTCCAAAAAGCACTTTTTTTTTCATTGAGAAAAAGCTAAAACTTAAGCTTACCCTGATTCGGTTGGACGTGATTCCAACCAGATGAGGCGGCCACGACCATCGACGGCGGTGCCGCCGAGCTTCTTGGAGGCGCCTGAGACAACATCGGCGGTGATTGGTGACTTCCAAGAGCCATAAGGAGCAGTGATTCTATCAGAGTCAGAGGTGGCTCTTGAAGAAGCCATTCCCTTTTTGCAGTTGCAACAACGTTGTTGATTCAGGGTTTTGGAAGACAGAGAGGATAGAAGAAGAAGCTTTGTGCTGAAATGGTTGACACTGTGAGTGAAGAACAATTTGGAATAACAAGATGAAGAAAAAGAAGAAGAACGAGAACGAGTGAGAGTGAGAACAGCAATAGCTAACGTGGCCATTCCGATACCACTCCATAAAATTAGCACGAGTCAATTCAAATTTGTTAGTATGACAATTTATTAGTGATACTAAAAATTGAAAATGTAAAAATAGATTAATTAATATATATTGTCGTATTACAAATTATTAAAGACTTTAAATAATTTGTCTCTCTCACTATTTTATCTAAGTCAATGACCCTTACCATTTCACTTAGGGTTAATTTACTTTTAGATTTTACCTTAGTGAGATTAAGAGTACGATTATTTATTTTTAATCTCCGTCTGTGACCGCAAGATTAATTTAAATAATGGGTTGATCCTTATCAACAGTATCTCATACTCTCTCTTAACATTAGGTTGACAACTCCTTGTCACTTAGTGGTGCATCTCATGCAACCAACCTAACATTATTACTCTAAGCACATAAGCCCGGATGAGCCTGCAACATATTCCTCAGTTAAGCATTAACCAGCACCCTAAGTGTCTCACACTTCTAACACTACTTTTGCTCAACGAAACAGTGGGTCTCAACTGAGTTGTGGAGCACCACTATTTAGAGGAGGTTTGAGTAATATTGGTGGTGGGAGGTAATCATGCGCTTAATAATTTATTCCTTTTAAGGGTTCCTTTTATTTAAGGTTTACTAAGTCTCATCAAACGCATATGAATGTTATCATGCTAGTCGTAACCTATGTCAAACATCTATCGGTTTACACTAGTTGTAATTGGGCGTGCATAATAATACATACAAACGCGATTTGTCCAATTTCATGCATACTAGTCGTTTTTTAAAACATAAAAGCATACATGCATATAAAACAATTTTATTTGAAACGGTCATGGTGCTCGTCAAGGAAGCACGGACACTTGTAAAAACAGGAAGAGTCGGGTCCGACACGCTCCAACACGGCGACACGCTCTGACACGCTCCGACACGGTGTCGGACACGCGGTTGACTTTTTCCGACACGTTGACCATTCCGACACGCGAATTTGACCGTGTCCGACACGGTCAAATGGCATTTTCGTAATTTTTTTTAATATTTTTTAAAAATTTATTTTTTTTAAAAGTTAAAATATATTAATAAAGCTTGCACCTGATCATATCAATTTTATCTTTTTGTCTTTTTTCCCCTTAAGTAGATAAGAGATCATCTCAACATTATTGTTGTCGATTCCTATCACGCTCTTGTTGTATCTTCTTCTCTCTGATCTCTCTCTAATATGATTTGATCTCTCCATCTGATATTATATCTCTCTCTCATCCCAGTTCTTATTTTTTTTATTAAAGCTTCCATCTTTATAACGTGTTGATGGGTATTATTAATTTAGTTTTTTTTTGTTAAATTATTAAATATTAAATGAAATATACACTATATAAATTAAAAATATTATTTAATATTAAAACGTGTCCCAACGTGTCGAAATCCATAATTTTTTAGGATTGACGTGTCGGAGTGTCGTGTCGTGTCACGTGTCGCATGACGTATCGGTGCTACATAGGTGCTCGTGCATTCGTCTTTCTTGCTTCTCAAGCCACGGCTCCTTGTCGTCTAAACGCCACTAGCCTAATTCTCTAATTACAAAATAATTAAAGAAACTCCAAAACATCTTTGGAGGGACAAATGAATATTCAAAATTTAAAATTCAAATTTACATTTTAATTCAAATCGATCAAAATTACACCTTTAATTTAAAATATAAAATTTGAAATTCAAACTCGGGCACCATGATCATCTCCTTCCAATTTGCACCTGAAAATTCAAATAACTTGCAAGCACATAATATCAAATATTATATAACATGTTCATCCATACGTCTTATCATTTTAACAATTAAAATATCATTGCAAGAATCATGATTCAAAATTTCTTAATGGCCGAATTATATAACAATTAATATAATTCAAATTTTGATGACTCTTTCTCAAAGAACACAAAATTAAACCACACATGTAGACACCACACCTTGTATGGCCGAATCACATATCCATATATATGATAAAAAATTTCACAAAAAATTTCATGTCATTCTCATGGAACAATTCATAGAGAAAAATAAAAAAACAATTAAGGTACTCAAAGTACCCCTCATGGCCGAGCCATCCTTTTCAAAAAGGTGTTTCTTTTCAAAACTTTCACAAAGAAAAAGAAACAAAACCATGAACACATACAGATATATGAACATAGCAATCACATTATCATGTTCATAAAATAAAAACTTTAACAATTTAAAGCATAGTATTTCAAAATCCATATGCTATGATTCATGCTTTAATTCTTAAAAGAATTTTTGACCGTAAAGAACAAGTTTTTACAAACAAAGTACCATCACCCGCCGATAGTAAAGCGACCGGGCTCTAATACCACTTGAAAGTAAATTGGCCTTGAAGGTCGAAGCATGTGAGAGGGAAAAACAAAATTTTTCAAGCGGAACTACACATGCATTCAAGACTCGTGCTTTAAGACAACATGATGTTACCTTTGTTTGTGATTCAAACAGCAAGGAGATCACTGTCAGGTTTGAAGGGTTCAAACCTTCTAACGTTGATCCACACCACTCACGTCAAGATGCATGAACACTTTCTTGAAAGCCACCAATTGACCACCACACCAAGCTTGCTAGGCGTCCAATGTGTGAAGGAGGAGGCTAGGTAAAGGTGTTTAGAATAGTGAAGTCTTTAACATGAAAACTTCACAAGAGTGGGGCATGGATTGGAGTAGAATTGGCTAGGATTTTTTGTGAAAACCCTAAGGAGAACTTACCCAAGTTGGCGCACAAGAGAGTGAGGGAATTAGAGAGTTGATTCAGATTTTTCACTTTTAATCACATTAAAAGTGGCGCACAACAAGAGGAGATAAATGTGGAGTTGTTGCAATTCAAAATTCCCAACAACCTCCACTTTGAATCTGCATGAGACTAAGTCTTTATCTAATCAAGATTCTGACCTAATGGTCATCATATGACCATCCTATCTATGCTCACCATTCAGCCCCAAAAGGGGTCCAGATACGTTGAGCAGTTGCATTCAAGTTTGAACCAACTAGCTCACTGATTCTCTCAACAACCAAATCTGATTGGAGTTTGTTTGATTGACAAGATGACACTCATATCCAACCAAAAGTGGCGCCCCATTCATCCTTGGATGATCTCCAAAGATCTCCTATTGATAAAGGGATTTGTTCCAACAAGATTTCATCTTATCCTTTTGTTATGAAATAACTTTTCACAGCCAATTCAAATTCGAATTCAAACATTTAAATTCGAACATTCAAACATTTAAATTCTAAATTCAAATTCAAAATTCAAATTCAAAATTCAAAATTCAAATTAAAAATTCAAAAATCAAATTCAAAATTCAAAATTCAAAATTCAAATTTCAAATTTCAAATTCAAAATTCGAATTTCAAAATTCAACTTCAAAATTCAAATTTCAAATTAAAAATTCAAAATTTAAATATTTGATAATTAATTTAACCAATTAAATTAATTAGTAATGTCTTGGACCATCCAAGCCCATTACATGATCCATGTGCCCTTTTCCCTTTAGGTGGGCTTCCAAACTTCTTCTTGGGCTAACAACCATTATTAGGCCCAATAACTTTAATGCTAGATCATCATGACAATAAGGTGTTAGTGTGTGATCCATTAGGTCCAACATAGCCACTGACATAAATGAGCTCGAGCCCAACAAGCCCACAACCTTTTTAATGATAACACAAAGCACTAGCAATGCTTTGTTGCCCTAGAGCTAGTTAGATTAATGACTTGATCATCCTATTACACATATTTGGTTGCCGTATATATTTCCTTTCGACTCAGTTACCTTCCCATTAAACCTAGGGTAAGGAAATGTATCAATCCTTGCGGTTTAGGGTAAGCTTTATTCGAAATAAGGAATCTTCAATTTACTGACTCTAAAGGTAGATAATCTCATAATCTCTCATACTCAAGAGATACCTGTTCTATTCCAAGGGGTTTATCCAGTTACTCATATAAAATATTAACAATAATATTGAGACAAAATATGAAATAGGATAAAGAGTGCTTTTATTTATTTGCGACAATATAAAAGGTCCACATATGTCCTAATCTAATCAAAAGATTGTCTCTAGGACATCCATATACTAACAACGCCCCCATAGAATTCAGGATTGAATTCTCTCGGTTAAAATTTTTCGATAATCTTTGTGTTGACTTTTTTTTATAAATATTCACAATAAAACTCCACTTTATTTAATGTTTATAAATATTCACAATAAAAATCCACTTATTTATAAATATTAATGTTTATAAAAAAAATGAAAATTTTCAAATAACATGGTCAAATTTTACATGATCAAACTTCAAATCTAGTACATTGGTAAACAGTGGCATAGCCACGCCCACACCAGTAGGTGCCAAGGCACCTCTTGTTTTAATTTTGTTTTTACTTGTTATATATATTATATAAGTAATTATAATTAACTAAGGTTAAAATTATAATTTGACATCACCTAAATAGAAAATAAATACTCAATATAAAGTAAACAAACCATCTAAATGCAAACAAATAATAAGAAACATGTACACTATGATTATTTTTGTGTTTCACCTTTTTGTTTTTTTATATTCTATATTTGTTTTTTTCACTTTATTATAATAAGTTGTGTTATTATTCTTATTCTTATTATTTTTAAAAGAAAGACTTCTAATCTTAATCACAAAAATGATTAGTTGACTTGTTTTAAAATTTGGGCCCAACTAAACTAAATAAGCCCATTTAAAAGTAGAGAAAAAGGTTTATCCTTTTAAAGGACACATCCTTACGTTCTTTTAGTTTTTGACATTATATATTACTGGTAAGACATATTTATAATATGAAAAAAAAATTCTTTCCTCAGTCACTTCAGCTGATGTGGAGAGAGAAAAGAAAGTTATTTTTCATGTTATAACTATGTCTTACCGGTAAGACATAATGTTAAAATGATACAATTTGTATCCTTTAAAAGGACACACACTTTGAAAGTTAAATTGATCTTGAAGGCCGAAGCATGTGAGAGGGAAAAACAAAATTTTTCATGCGGAATCACACATGCAATCAAGACTCATGCTTTAAGATAGCATGATGTTACCTTTGTTAGTGATTCAAACACCAAGGAGATCAGTGTAAGGTTTGAAGGGTTCAAACCCTCTAACGTTGATCCACACCACCCACGTCAAGATGCAAGAACTCTTCTTGAAAAGCCACCAATTGATCACCACAAAAGCTTGCTAGGCGTCCAATGTGTGAAGGAAGAGGCTAGGTTAAGGTGTTTAAAAGAGTGAAATTTTCAGCTTAAAACTCCACAAAAGTGGCGCATGGATTTGATGATATATGGCTAGGTTATTTTTCAAAACCTCTTAAGAAAAACCTAACAAAAAGATGACCAAAGGAGATGAGAGAACTATCAAAATTGGATCAGATTTTTCTCTAAAAATCTGACCATAAGTAGCGCACAATGGAGAGGAAAAATGGAGTTGTTGCAACATCAAATCTTGCCAACAACCTCCTATCATATCCTCATGATATCAAGTCAATATCTTAACAAATATCTGACTTAACAAACATCATATGGCAAGCCATATGGTGCGCCCAATTCAGCCCCAAAAACAGTCCAGATACGTTGTGTAGTTGCATTCAAATTTGAACTAACTAGCTCACTGATTTCTCAACAAACCAAATCTGACTTGGACCTTATTTGGTTGACAAGATGACACTCAACAACCAAAGTGGCGCCCCAAATTCAGCCTTGGATGTGATCAAAGATCTCCTCTTGATACTAGCGATTTGTTCCAACAAGATCTTATCTTATTCTTTTGTTATGAAACAACTTTTCATAGACAATTCAAATTCGAATTCAAAATTCAAATTCAAACGTTCAAACATTTAAATTCAAAATTCAAAATTCAAAATTTCAATATTTGATAATTAATTTAACTAATTAAATTAATTAGTAATATCTTGGACCATCCAAGCCCATTACATGATCCATGCGCCCTTTTTCCTTTTAGGTGGGCTTCCAAACTTCTTTTTGGGCTAACGACCATTATTAGGCCCAATAGCTTTAATGTTATATCATCATGACAATAAGGTGTTAGTGTGTGACCCATTAGGCCTAACATAGCCACTGACATAAATGGGCTTGGGCCCAACAAGCCCACAACTCATCTAATGACAACACATAGCACTAGCAATTCTTTGTTGCAGTGTTGTTAAAACCGGCTCGGACCGGTCGGTTCAACCCGGAAACCGTTGAACCGGTCCTTAAGCCGGTTCGAGTTTGTTATTGGATCGATTGTCCTTGCAAACCGGAGTCACTCGGGTTCGACCGGCCGGGTATACCAAAAACCGTGAATCGGCGAGCCAATAGCAACCCGGTCAACCAAAGATCTGTCGTTCACGTGCTGCCAAATTTTATACCTGTCTGTGCTTTTGTGAGGTATATAAAGCACTTTTCAATTCATATTAAAGCCGATGTGGAACATCTAAATTTTAGAAGTTTAATCTTTCAAACTTTAGCATCTATTAGAAAATTATCTTTATTTCATATCTTAAAGTTTGTCTTCCATGAGTTTAAAGGCAGCAAGGTGATGTTGGTTGCACCAATCTTGTGTCAATCCCAAACACAAAGTAAGTCCACAGGTAAAGTTGTTAGTTTTATTAATGGAAAAAATGCTTGTATTTTTAATGATATCATTTATATCATTTTATTTTTATAAAAAGATGAGATTCATATTTTTATTTTTGTTTTGTTTATTTTTTTTTTCATAATCTATCTTTATATTTTATTTAAAATGACATAATTTTGTATTTTTTTAAATAACACATATTTTTTCCATTATTAATATAACATTTTTGCTTCCAAAGCTAAAGTTAATACTTGGTATATTTGTTGGTTAAAATTGTACGAGGAAAGTTATATTGAAAATTTTTATTTTTATAAACTTACAAATTATATTATATATTTCAAGTAAGACTTCACTCAAGAATATGTTAACGATAACATATAATATAGTTAATAAGAATTTGTAAATAAAAAATTTATAAATACAACCTTTCTCAAATTATATATATGATATAAATGTTCACATAATGTTGTGATTGAGTCTATGTTTTGGTTCAGTTTAATTTCAAAACAATATATTATCCTTACGATTTTTTCAAAAAATTATAAGTAAGCTAATCTAAACCCATAACTATTTTTTTATGTCAAAAGTGTATACACATATAATTATTAAAAATTGTATATTCACATTATTTGTGACAAAAAAGAACATCCGTGTTAAGTTGCTATTATAAATTTTTAAGAAATATTTTTAATTAAAGAAATCACTTGCAAAAATTTTGATATTTCGTTTTATTAAAAGAATTACATTAATATTTTTGTTTAATAAAATAAAGTTTATCTTAGAAAACAAAAATTAATTTTTTAAATCTGAACATTATAAAAATATTATTTTTTTCCTTTCATTATTTTAATTTTCATTATGATTTTCATCGTGCATTTTAAATTTTTTCGTTACTTTAGCAGTATATTAAATATCAACACTAAACATTAGGATTTTTTTTTCTTTCATCGTGTTTCAAATTTTAGTTTGCTTTGAACAATTTTTCCTGAAAAAAAATATAGATTAATCGGAACCCTTTATTGTTGTTTAATTTTTATTTTTTAATATGCAGATACAAAGTGCACAGGACATGGTAAAGGCAGCCCCTGCAAAGTTCGTAAAAAAAAGAAAATGCTTCTGACTGGTATCTGCTAACAAATAATTACTCACGTTTACTATAGCTGTTATGTTTTTTTTTTTTTAGAAATATAAAAGCATTAATAAAACTTTTACTTAATTAATCTAAATTTTTGAGTTAAAATAATTCTTTACATGATTTTAAAGTTTCTATGATCAAAATATCTCCACCTAATTGACCCCTATATTAGAAAATAGTGTTAGGAAAATATAAAATTAATAAAGCTTTCACCTAAGAGCTTACCCTTTTCACTTTGTTCGCTTGTGAGAGACAAGCCAAATGCAATATAATTTACTTGTAAATGACCATTGTGTTTGTGCTCTTTTTTATTCTTAAACTATGCTGTTTTCAGCGGTGGCTATTTCCTTAGGAGGAATAGTCTCTATAGCAACAGTAATTGGAGTCATTCTCTACAAGAAGCATAGTCAAGTGAAGAGAAAAGCAAAGAAGACCATAATGAAAAGGAAGAAGGAAATCTCAAGTGTTAAAGCTAATGCTTTATCATCGAGGATCTTCACGGGCAGAGAGATAAAGAAAGCAACAAACAATTTCTCCCAAGAAAATCTCATTGGCTCTGGTGGTTTTGGTGAAGTGTTCAAGGGAACTTTTGATGATGGAACCATCACTGCCATCAAGCGTGCCAAGCTTGGAAACACAAAAGGCATTGATCAAATACAAAATGAGGTTCGAATACTCTGCCAAGTTAACCATAGAAGCCTAGTGAGACTTCTTGGTTGTTGCTTGGAACTTGAACACCCTTTACTAATATATGAGTATGTTTCTAATGGCACACTTTTTGATTACATACATCGCCACCACCCTTTTGGAACAAGGGCACCTCTCAAATGGCATCAAAGACTCAAAATTGCACACCAAACAGCTGAAGGACTTTCATATCTTCATTCTTCTGCTGTGCCACCCATTTACCACCGTGATGTGAAATCAAGTAATATACTTCTTGATGATAAGTTTGATGCCAAAGTTTCAGACTTTGGCTTATCTAGGCTTGTTGAATTAGCTGAAGAAAATAAGAGCCATATCTTCACTAGTGCTCGGGGAACACTTGGTTATCTTGACCCTGAATACTATCGTAACTTTCAACTCACAGATAAGAGTGATGTTTATAGCTTTGGAGTGGTGTTGATGGAGCTTCTAACTGCTCAGAAAGCTATTGATTTCAATAGGGAAGAAGAGAATGTAACTTGGCTGTGTATGCTAAGAAGAAATTGATTGATGATAAGTTGATGGATGTTGTTGATCCGTTGCTTAAAGAGGGAGCTAGCAATTTGGAATTGGAAACTATGAAATCATTGGGTTATCTTGCAGCTACATGTATGGATCACCAGAGAAGACATCAACGGCCTTCAATGAAAGAAGTTTCTGATGAGATTGAATACCTGATTAAAATTGTTAAAGGTCAGGTTTCGAAACAATAAATGTGCCTATCTGGCAAAGTCACCCCCGAGTTACCTAGCAAAAATGTACCTTACCAAAAAAAAAAAAAATTGCTTTGAAATTTGCATAGTTCTTTATGATAACTGACAGAGTTCAGATATACAAGTAATAGAAACAAGGATTTGGATCTTTTTTGTGAATGTTATTTCACAATCACTTATTGATAATGATATAAGAGAGAGAAAAATATCATATAGTCATGTTATTTGATCACAATCACTCATTGATGATCACATAAGTGAGAGAAAAGTATATAATATTAAAATGAGTGATTATAATCAAATAACATGACCATATGACCATTTTTTCATATAAGAGAATCTAAATCCTAGAAACAATTATTTTATCCCCAAAAGAAAAAGGTATCAAATAGTTAAAAGGGTGTGAGGTAACATTGCTATTGGTGCTAGAAACCCCCAAGGGTAGCTGAATTAGCAAATGAGCTCTCAAGGGTTTGCTTGGGTTAAGAGTTCAAATCCTGTCTCGAGCAAATTCTTGAAAAATCTTTGAAGGCCAGAAGACGTGTCTCTATCCTCAAATGAAGGATTAATCTTATTTTACCTCCGGTAGCGAAGTTCCATGCACCTGGTTCCAATGAGGGGTAGCCTTCAGGTCGTACTCCGTGGACAAGGTGACCGAAGGAGGTTGAATGGGGATACATACAGCCACAAATCTATACCACTAAGTATGACA